CCTCTCGTTTCCTCTCCCCAGGGCCTGGCCTTAGCATGGGCTTCAAAGTCTCTTCCTTTTGGTGCAAGCCCCATTTTTCCTTTCATTTTTGCCCCTTTATGATAATGGTATCATGGACTCTTCCTCTTTATGGATTGGACTACCTTTGCTGATCGTGATGGCTTCCAGTCTCACCCACGTCACCAGGGGTTTGGAAGTCTCATCATTTTTTTTTTGGGGGGGGGTGATGCATAACATCCCGTGGTGTGTATGTTTCAGAGTCCACTTAGCCATTCCTCCAGACAGGGTGTTTGATTGCTTCTTATATTTTCTCTTAGGCCAATAGGGCAAATCGGAGAGGATGGAAACACGCCCTGGGGATTTTACAGGGAGTAGAATGAGCATTAGGCCATAGAGTGAGCACTGCAGACCAAGAGGGAAAGAAGATGCACCCGTCCATCTCACCAAGGGCTTCATCGTTGTTGGTGGCATCTAGGGATGGAGTGTTCATGACGATGTGCCCCAGGAAATGCAGCCAAGTTTAACCATCCTGCTCTATCTGGGGCCCCCTGATGTATTCCTCCTAAGACAGTGTGTTTGTGTGGGAGACTAGAGAAACAAAATTCATAGACATTCATATTGTATAAGAGAGTTTTATATAAAGGGTAAGTGTACATTAAGAAAGCATCCCAACCCAGTCCAGTCCAAGCCCATAAGTCTGACATTAGCCCATGTGTCCGACACTGATCTACAAAGTCCTCCTCAATTTCACAAAACACATGCAATGATGCCGACTGCAGGAGGAAAGCCGAATCAGTGAGTGTGTAAGCATCTCAGGGCTTGCAGGGGTCTCCACTCAGCTGCTCCAGCACCCAGGGCTGCATCGGGGTAGGTCCATGTGGCTTCTCCTCAGGGATGTCTTGCAGGAAGTGAGCCTTGCCAGCTGAAGCAGGGAACTGGCTAAGGCAGCTGCATACTGGTCCAACCATCAGGGAGCAAGAGACCAGAGAACAAGAAAGGCGAGGCTCACCGAGCCATTTATCTCTCTGCCCTTCAATTAAACCGTCCTTCAAGGAACCCCACATGTGTTTATGGGCCAGGTGGGCACAATAAACCTTAACGATCACAGACGGATTGGTTTGTTCTTCTAGCTCAAGAGCATCATATTTCCTTTGACCATCCTTTCTGATTGGCCAGCTCTCTCCTGCATATGAGGTGGTTGACAAGACCGTGGATTGGCGCACTTCCGTCGTCAAAATGATGCCTTTGCTTTTAAAGCTTCCCGGAGGTCCTGTGCAGCAGATCTGCTCCACAACATTGGCTTGAGGACAGAGGGTTCCTTGAACCTCCATGGTGACACCAGTGGAACAAGATTGCTGACAACGCCCATTGTTTTCTCCCTCTTCCATGATGTTGTTCATCGGTCCAACGGTAAGGTGTCTTTTATGTCTTCACAGGCACGAGCCTCCCGGGAAACGATTGTCTTTGACCGCCATCTGCCAGTGCTTCAAGTTAGTGTTCCTTTCGTGGAGCGAGGCTGTGCCATCTGTGGGTCAGATGGTCAGGACACCGCCTTCCGTCCTGTGATGGCCTTCTTCTTCACGCAGTGGAGCTTCTCAGACGACGTGTCCCACGTCCAGGCTGAATCAGTCAGGTGTGAGGAGACAGCCCTGGTTTTGAGTCACCCACTCTAGCCATTCGTGATGAAGACAGTTGAAAGGGGTAGATGGTTGCCCCAGGTGCTTTGGGAAGATCGGCCACCTGGATGGTTAGGTAACATTTACCAGGCAACTTGAGTTAAAGTGATTCTTATTCTGCATCTTGCTGTTATCAGTTGACACTTCCGTGGGAGTCTCTTTGCTAAGGTGGGCAAAGAATCTTCCCCAAATCTAGGTGGCTTTGTTAAACGGTTCCCAAGTAGCCTCAAAACTAGGGAATCGGTTTGTAAAAAGCACCCTATGGGAACATTGATTTGTTCACGCCAGAGGGTTAGCCACGCTGTGTTGTGGGCTGATGACATGGGAACTCCCGATGACATCATTGGCTGGGGTCTAATTAGCATCACAATTCTAGGGTAAGGCAGACCCTGCTCACTCCTGGGCTGAGTCGTTCCCATCAGTCTGTTGGAGGGACTGAGAGTTCCTAGTACATTGCTCACTGGTGGTGTTGCCCTAGGCAGGCTCAGGCTCTCTGCAGGCGTCTCTCTTGTGATTCCTCCATGTGTGGGGTTTGGGACTTTGGGGACCCTCCTTCCACCCCGGGAAGTGCTGACTTGGACACTCTGCATTGGTGATGGAGGGTCCCCACTTTGTGACAAGCTCAGGATTCCTGGACGATTTGCCGAGTTCTCTCAGACCATTAAGTCAGGATGTCTGATGCTAGCATCTTTCCACAGTCCCATGCTTGCTTATTGAGAGCTCTGCCTTTGTTTGTCTGGTGCTGCAGTAACAGCAAGTAACCACAAGCGCAGTAACCACAGGTGCATCGCTTTACCAAACAACATGCATTCCCTCACAGCTGAGGGGGTCTAAGGTCTGGGTTCAGGGTGCCTGCATCCGGGGAAAGCCCTTGGGGGGAAGAGACCTGTTTTCTTTCTCTACCTGTGGGCTCAGCATTCCTTGGAGATCACGCTCTCTCGATGCGTATTAACTTTATCTTCCCCTGGGTCTAGGAGGTTCTCAGCACAGGGACCCTGGGTCCAAAAGACAAGCTCTACTCCCGGCTATTCTTTCTTGCTGTTGTTAGTGCTGTCGAGTTGGCTCTGACCCATAGTGACCATATACGTAACAGAATGAAATACTGATCGATCCTGTGCCATCTCACAATGGTTTCCATGCCTGAGACCATTGTTGCAGCCACAGTATCCATCCTTCTCCTGGAGGGCTTTCTGCTCTTTCACTGCACCTCCACTTTACCAAGCAGGATGGCCCTCTCCAGGGACTGGTCTCTCCTGACCACATATGTGAGATGAAGTCTTGCCATCCTTGCCTCTGAGGAGCACTGTACTTCTTCCAAAAAAGACTGGTTTGTCCGCTCAGCAGTCCATGGTACTTTCAAGATGTTTCTCCTGCACGACAGTTCAAATGTATCCATTCTTCTTCAGTCTTTTTTATTCCATGTCCAATTTTCACATGCATAGGAGCCAATGGAGAATGCCACAGTTCAGGCCAGGAGCACCTTAATCCTCAAGTAGCACCCTTGCTTTCCAATGCTCGGAAGAGTCGTGTGCAGCAGACTCATGTAACGCAACTCGTCTTTGGATCTCCTGACTGCTGCTTCCATGAGCATCGACTGTGGTCCAAGCAAGACGAAGTCCTTGACAACATCACCTTCATTGTTGGTGGTACTGAAGTCTCTCCGTCTCTGATTTCTTCTCTCTCCTTTGATCTCTTATAAGATCAAAGGTGGCCCCAGGAGAACTCCCTTCCTTTGGATCAGGCGTATGACCCGAGTCAAGGTCTTATATCCCCTTACAGTTAATGAGGACCAATCCCAAGAGGTCACAGCATGGCGGATGATGGCCTCATTACATCATCACATGTCTGCCAAACCACTGAGCATCATGGCCCCAGCAAGTTGACACATGCTCTTAGTTCTGGGGACACAGCTCAATCTCTGACACACTCTCTGCCTGGCTTCTAGCCTCACTGCTGGTCAGGGGCATTAGGACGTGCACAGGGCCACACCCAGCAGACTCTCGCTGAGGTGGTGTGTTCAGTGCAGCCCCCCTACCTCCTCACCCTGACCCACACCCTGACCCACCTCCTCCTTCTGGCTTCCTTCTCCTTGGTGTCCTGCTGGCTGCTGCTGCGTGGGGGCCATGTGTGGGTGGCTAGGGACATACTGACACTCAATACTAGCCTAGCTCTGACCCATTGAGCAGCCTCTGCAGGGGGTGTGCTCCTGTGTGCACATGGGGTGGGGTGGGTGACGTCCACCTCCAAGGGAAGGGATGCCATCTCAGGGAGCCACACAGCCCCCCCTTCATGGAGGCACATGGGGGTGCACAGAGGCCAACCCGGGTGTTGAGGGTGTGCTGTTCGAGCTGAGCTGACTTGGGCCCCAGGGTGCACCTTACCACCCCCACACAGCCCCGCTGAGGAGGACGGTCCAGAAGGGGCCAAGGAGGAGCAGCATCTTAGACTGGCTGGTCCTCATAGCCCCCATGTCCCGAGTCCATCTGTCCTCCTCTGCCCCAGTCCGGCGGCCATAGCTGGACTCCTAACCCCCCTCCTGACCCCCTGGACATCACCTTTCTCCACCTCGAAGACCACCAGCAGGGGCCTCTCAGCCACCCCTCTTCCTCCATCCAGACCACCATCACCACGTGCCTGGGACACTGGCGGCCTCCCAGGGGGCTGATGTTGAGCCAGCTCCTCATGAGGCATTCTGTGCACCTCAGCTTGAGGACACTTTTCAAGTGCCACTCAGATGGCCTCATACCACGGTGTACAGCCTCCATGTCCCCGCTCCACTGCCTGGAGGAGAGACCCCCTAAGGCCCCAGGAGGCCTATGAGCACCAAGCCCCCGGCCCAGAGTCCTTCTGTCTCTACTACCTCGCAAGATTTCCTTGGCTCTCTTAGGATGCGCCTTTGTTGAGTCTCAGCTGTATGGACACCACGTCCGGGTAGCCTTCCCTGACTACCTATCCTGAGCCAGAGCTTGCACTGCCCGCTCTGAAAAGCACGCTGAGCAAGCCTTACAGAGTGCTTATCGGGGTGGGAGACCTGGCTGTCTTGAAATGTGAGCCATAGCCCCCACACGATGCCTCCCTAAGACCCCGCAGCTTACTCCCCCTCAGTGTGTCCCCACCCTGGACCTCAGGAAGGCCAGAGCCACCTTCACACCAGGTGAACAGCTCTCCCTTCCCCCCTCCTCACACCTCTGGCTTGTCTCCAGGGGCCATGTCTGGCGGCCTAGACAGGACCAAGCCATTGCTCATCTCTCACACGAGGCCTCGGGGCAACCGGGCTGCCTGTGGTGGGAGGGAAGGGTGGGGGGACGTGGGGAGCACGCCTACCTGGGGGCTGGCTGCCTGCTGCGTCTGGCTCCAGGGCCCGGCTGCATGCTGCTAGGCAGTCCTTGTACCTGCCCTCTTGGAGCAGAGTGTCAGGTGGGAGGGTGTGGCTCCGGGCACCCCCAGGCCCCAGGGCGGCGATGAGTCGTTGGCAGTTGGTCTCCTGTGGGTGGCCTGAGATGTGGTCCTCCAGGGTGCTGACCAGCAGGGGGAGGTAGGGCTTTTGGTGGGCATGGATGAATGCTGCTGTCTGCTCAGGCTTCTCCCCAAAGGCCCGCAGGTAGTCGGCCACGCCATCGGCCACCTGCTCCCGGGACAGCACCCAGGCCAGCGCTCGGGTTAGCTGCAGTTCCAGGGCTTGCTGCGAGTGGGTGGCAAGCAGGGCATTGCAGCGTTGGGCAGCCTCCCTGTGGTGCCCATGGGCCAGCAGGCCGGCCAGTGTGTACAGGACCGAGGCTGGGTGGTCGGGGCACAGAGCAGCCAGGAAGGCAGAGGCGAGGGTCCCCGTCAGGGAGACCACTGCCATGCCGTCCCAGTGGATGGCTGGGATCTGGCTCTCCCCCCGGCACCAGGCCTCCAGGGTGGCCACCACCGCTGCCCCCCGAGCCTCAGCCAGGGCCGCACGCACACTCCGCACGGCTGAGGGGGCGTGGCAGCTGAAGGCGGCCAGGTAGAAGGCAGTGGCCAGCGGGGGCTGTCCCAGGGCCAGGTGCTTGTCGCCCTCCCGGCAGAGGCAGGTCACAAGTTTTTGGGCCGACATCATACCCTCCGCCTGCAGAGACCCATGTCCTGTCCGCGCCACCTGGGGGAGGGAAATGTGGCCTGTGCTCAGCCCAGGCCTGCCTCTCAGGGCCCCTACTCTGAGCCTCTCAGAATGAAATGCGCCCAGCTATCAGGGGTGCTGTGGTCTCCCAGACAGGCTGCCTCTGAGGGGAAGGGGTGTGGGGGCCTGGCCTTGGTGGACTCTGCACTTCCTGGCCCCAGCTTCTTTGTTTGCAGAGTGGACTGAATTCCCCCGTCTAATCTGATGTTACAGGCCTCTCGCCTGCTTAGTGCCCCGGTCGGCCTCATTCCCAAGGACGGTGGCCTGCCTCAGGGCCCAGCCACCACCCACCTGCTCACACCTGGGCCAGTGGGTGTGGGGCGGGGGAGGGTGATGAGTCCCATGTGGGACACTGTGCACGGAGGCCAGAATTCCCAGCCTGCTTTGTCTGCCCCTAAGCATCCCCAGCCCCGCCCAGCCCCCAGCCCTTCTGAAGAAGCACCCTGGTCCTTTTGTCCTGGGCTGTCCCCTAATGTCTCCTCCCGCTGCATGCTCTCCGACACACACACGCCCCCCACGCTCCCCGCACACTCACGACGGCTGGTGGTCCAAGGCTCCTTAGGGAGGTTGTGGGGTGGACCAGGGTTGGACCCGGGTTGCTGGGCTGGCTTCCCGGCAGACACTGCCTCCCCTGGTGCCAGCCGTGCAGGGGCAGTGCGTTTCCCTGGAGACTGTCAACAACCAAGGGGCCTGTGGCTTGACGGTGCCCCTGGTGGCGGAGCGGGTGAACTGCCTGTGCCCTGGGCAGAATCCTCCCAAGTCCTCTGACAGGGAGGATTGAAATGGCTGGGACCCCCCTCCAGCCCCTCCGTCCGCTCTGTCCGCTCTGTGCACCTTCTATCATGCGTTCGGCCTGCCCTCAACCCTCAGGCCCAGCTGTCTCCGTCTCTCCAGCCCTTCACGTCCCGTCCCCAGGGCCTCCCTTGTCTGGTCCAGCCTGGTCCCCACTGGGGTTAGGCCACAGTGGCCAGCCCTCTTGTAGGAGTTGCTGAGGGGACCCTGACTTGGGGGGAATCATGAGCCCCTGGGGTCAGAGGCTCTGAGCTCTGTGTCCAGGTTGTTTTAGGCGAGGGTAGCAGAGGAGCTGGCCATGGAAGGATTCCTGGTGGCCGCTGCTGGACCAGTGTTCCGTGGACAGTTAACTGCAAGGTCAGTGGTTCACACCAACTAGCTGCTCCTTGGGAGAAAGGTGAGGCTGTCTGCTCCTACAGGGATGTGTAGCCTTGGGAACCCTATACAGGCTCCCTGCAAGTCCGCATAGGAGCCCTAGTGGTGCAGTGAACAACACACAGGCCAGTGGTTCAAAACCATTGGCGGTGACGAGAGAGCAAGGGGAGGCTTTCTACTCCTGTAACAGTTACCGTCTCACAAGCACACAGGGGCAGGTCCACCCTGTCCTTGGGTTGCCATGAGTCGGGATGGGCTTGCTGGCAGTGGGCTGGAAAGGAATCAGAAGGTTCCAGCTGGCTCTCTCCTGGTCATCCCCGGGGTGGCAGGACACTGATCTGTAGCTGGGCCTCACGGAGCTCCCTTGCTGCTCTGTCAACTCCAGCCTGGGTCCGACTTGGCTCTCTTAGGACCGGATGACCCCAGCTTGTCACCTGGGGCTTTGTCTAGCCACTCTGCCCACCTGAGGACCAGCTCCAGGGCCAACTCTGGGCCCAGAACCCAGGACGACTCTCTGCTTGGGGGTGGGGGCTCTGGAGGCTCGGGGCCTTGGGGCATTCCTGCTCCCCCACCCCCACCTGCCCGTGGCTATTTCCTCACTGTGCCAGAGGCTCTGAGATAAGGGTTCCTTCCAACCTGGCATAGGAGTGGGGTGAGTGTGTTGGGAGGAGGCCGATTTGGCACAAGGCCCTAATCCATCCACGGCCCCGAGGGCTGGAATCAGGCCTCAGACCTCAGCATCACTTCTCATTAGCATCATGGAGGCCTTGGTGCCCGCAGGTGCCCGCAGCCCCTGCCTCCAACCCCTCCTCAGCTCTGTAGACCCTCATAGGAAGGCAGCCCCTGGTCCAAACCCACCGCATTAGAAAGGGGGACTCCTGGGAGGAATAGCCACAGCGATCCAAGGACCCCAAAAGGGTGACTTGGAAGTCTCAGGCCCTCCCAACCCTGATGTCAGGCCAACCCTGGCTGTCTACGCGTGGCCCCGCTCTCTCTCCCACCGCTCCCCCCTCCCAGGTGCTCTCTAAGAGCTCTCAGGCCCTGGTTGTTGGAGCCCAGAACCCCCTTCCCACCCACCTGCCTTCTCTGAACAATGCCTCCCTCAGCCCAGGGCCTCGGACCCCAGGAGCTTGCTTACCTGTGGCCAGGAGACAGAGAGGTACCAAGGCACCAGGTGGGACTGGGGACCTGGCTGTTAGTGGATGGAATTTCGCCTTGGTTCCTGTGGCAGGGATCCTGTGGAATTGCTGAAGGAGAGGGAGGAGAGCTTTTTGCCCATTCGCCACCAGCCTTGCCCGAAGGTCTGCCCTCCCCCACCCCCCACCCTGCCAGGCTCCCTCCGAGTCTTGTCTGAAACCAGTTTCCTGCGCCGGCAGCCTGGCGGTACTGCCACACCTGCTGGGTGTCACCTCCTGCTGCCTCCTTCTGTGCCATGATCAATAATGCAGGTTGGGGAGGAGCCCTCCAGGCGGGTGCCCCACACACCTGCTATCGTCCTGGACTTGTGGGTGGAGGAGGAGCAGGTTGGGGTGACACACGCTGGCATCCACAGGGGCCACCTTCCCTGAGGCTGGAGCAGCCCCTGGACCCTTGCACTCCTGCTCAGGGGAGGCTCCAGGGACCCTGATGTCTGATCTGTCAGCAGGTCCAAGGCTCCAGGTGACAAAGGGGTTCTGAGGGCCAGGCTCCAGGCCCACAGGGGTCACTTGATCCCTGGTTTTTTTTTT